CCCCCCCCCCGCCTCCACCCAACTGTGGCCCATTTCTGTGAGCACATGCACTGTCAAACTCTGAAATTTGCCGATAGCGTCTCTGCTACGAACTTGGATATGAACCTTTGCAAAAATCAAACTTGACCAATGGAACACTGTAAACTACAAAGGGGAAATGATTTTCATATACGCTCACATGTGATAATGCACTAATATCAATGACTGTGAATCCCAGGGCTAGCAAAACATTACAGAGGAATCAACCACTCTATCTCTGATCTCAGTATTAATGGGCTCAGAAGTAATGGCCTCATTCATTTATTGCAGAACCCCCCCCCCCTTTTTTTTAAAGGATAAAAGGCATGCAGTGTTAAAAAAAAATCTTGCTACATTTATAGTATTCTTTGTTTTCAATGGTGTGTTGTGTGAAGAAATTGGGTTGTTAAAAAAAAATCCACCCAGCTACTGTACACTCTACAAAACAGTTATTGACCACTGTTGCTTTGTGTTCTTTCTGGATTTTTAAAAATGTTTTTTTTAATCTGCTAAGATTTGGCTCTGTTTAATACCAGAAATTCTTTCAATTATCTACAGGAAAATTGTGTCAAGCCCAAGACTCATTAGCCAAGAATGCTACACACATATGCAGTTTAGAGTGATAATGTGGCAGGTTTACTGCTCAAGATTGTTGGAATTTTTGCAACAACAGTTTCTTGATTTAAGACAATGTAGTGCACAAAAGTAGTGTCATATCCCATGCCAGCAGCCATCACTTTTGTCAGCTGAAGCTATCACTGGCACTGGCACTTAGCTTATTTTGTAAAATTTAAATCTCATCTCTCATGGTAGTCCCGGAAAGGCATCTTAAACTAGATATACACTTTGTGGGCCACATACTGCACACTATAAATTAATCTGTGGGTCGATTTTTCTTAAAGCTCAAACATGTTTATGCCAATTCTGTGTATGTAAAGCTCATGCACCACACATCTCCCTTCTTTGCATGCATTTTCCTTTTCGGGTGTGTGTATGTGTGGTACCTGCCAAGAAGGAAACTAAAACCAGTCTTTACAGTATTTCTGTCAGCAAGCTACTGTGTAAACACCTGAGCAAAACAAATATAACGTTTGTTTGCCAATAACGCCCCTCTATATCAGAGGGTTATCTTTAATTCCAAATCTATTATTTATTTGAGTACTGAAAAGGTGATGTATGCTTAGCTAGCCTGGTGAGATCAACACTAATGGGCTCAGAGTAAAGCTGCTGAATAATTCATAGGCTGTTAATCTAATAATGGTGTCTGGAAACAGGAGCCTTTATGCAGACCTACACAGAGACATCAACGCACTAGGAAAGCGCATAACATTTGGACCTCGTAGCACCACAAAGGAACAATCTCAAGGCAAACAGTCAATCTGGATTTGCCTCAGAGGTGCCTTTTGGCCTCAACACAATCACCTCTTTTTGGTGTTTTTAAATCCAATTTTATGAGATGGTGTGATGCTGTTTTCGCGGTGCAAATGTAAATATGTCTTTCAGTATTATATGAAAGGATGCATAGGGAGGCTTACATATCGTCCACTAACATACTGCCTGTTGAGCTGAAATGGAAGAATTGTAGGTGTTAGGAAAAAATGACGGGTAAACAATCGCACAATAGGGTGTCTTATTAGAAGCAAACTTTAATATTAATGCTGGATTATCATGCATTAACATGCATTTGCTGGATAAACAAGTTCAGTTCATTGTTCCATTAAACTGTTATGACCATTAGGACCATATGCTGGAGATGTTGTGAGGCTTTCTCGCTTTAAAACGATGTTGATTTCCAGTGCAGACAGCACATACAATAATGATGATTACTGCCTGCTTCTGTCATATTGAGCACTTACTTGAGATGACAGGGCAGACTCTGGCTCGACTTTGGTGTTCGCTTCCAAGCAGTTCTTATTTGATGGCTCTAACTGGGTTTTACAGTCTATGGACCTAAAGGAGGAAATGGAAAGATGGGATAAATGATGCAGATGATGCGCTTCAGATGCATTTCACATTTTGTGTATAAGCAGACTTTTCTCTTCTTGGAAATCAGTGCCTTCTTGCCAGATTTGGCACTTTTGTTCTCCTGTAAACCTGTTTTCAGTAGCACTGTACAAACTCCTGAGGCCATTTTTGATCCAAGATCCAGAAATGCACACATCCCCAGAAAAGACATTGGATGATTCTGCAAAACCACGTATTAGATTTAATCACAATGTTTTTATTAGCATTCACTACTAACATGTTTAAATTTGTACAGTATTTGGACATGGAAACAACAACTATGGTTATGATCAAGTGTTGAGTGCCTAAACATCACAGTTGTCACAGTGATGCCAGGTCAGGACAGTACCTACCACAGAAACTCATTGGATGAATTTTTAGATGAACGTCGTCTCTCCAACTTCCATTTTCTGTTGCCATTTCTCTCAGGATTTGGGTTCAGCTCTTCCCATTTATCCAGCGGTGAACCAATGTTAGCTGGTGGTAGTAATAATAATAAATCATAAAACAGACTAAATAAAAAAGAGGCAAATCAGGTTAATTTGTTCCACATCAGAATTACCCTTTTACCAAATAATTCATATTGAAACTGAAACTGATCTTTGAAATATCCACTAGTGTGAGAACAATAATGTTAACTTTGGCACAACATTTTTGATCATTTTTTGATGACAGTGTACATTAGTTGTGGTCAAATTGTAGTTATTTGATTTTTTTTTAGTTGTTAGCCCCTTTCAGACATGCACTCAATAGTGTGTAATTGCCCTTTTAATACATGGATTTGTCCATCTGTCTTATTCTCATTTAACTTTTATTAGTTGACAAAAATGTTAAACATTTCAGCATAGTTCTTGTTTATGGGGTTAACTTTGTTTTATACAGTGTTAGTCCTTTTTAAAAAAAATGAAAAATAGGTGGTCAGCTAATATTTTGTCTTATTGGACAACAGTTTGTTCAGATTAGCACAAAACAAATACAAATGTAATTTGAACTTTGGAAAAATGTTTTGCATATTCATTTAACAGCAACATACATTTAAATGCAGCAAGTTGTTTCATTAGTTGATATACAAGCCTTTTAGTCAAATGTAAGTTTTCTGAGAGGACAAACTTCGTGCTCAAAGCTAAAATCTCACCGCTATGAATTATTCACTACACTGTTCAACTGCATAATTAGTTTTCATTGAAGACTTTGTTTTTGCCAGCTGAAAATGTTAAAGGTAATTGGCTGTTTCCTCCAGGACAACCTCTTTCATTACAGGTAATTGGCTTGATTCCTTTTTAGCCTGTCTTGACATGAGTTTCATGGGGGATGATAGGAGTGGGAGTTGGAGGAGGTTGGGAAACTGGGGGAAGCAGTTGACAGCAAGATAAAGCAGAGTAGATTATTTCAGTGTTCAAACTTTCTGGATGCATATGGTATAGTATGTAAATAACTTTACAGAATGGATAGCAGGAAACACAATATAAGCTGTGTTACAAAAGACACTGTACATATTGTTGTTCCTGGGTTGTTCTGTGTATCTGCACTGACACTGAGGTGAACTGTCTTATTTTTAGACCAGTTCTGCTCTTTTTCCGACAGGATTCAAAATTTCTTGACCTGAAAGTTTTTCTTAACAGAATGATGGGTTTTAAAACAGAAGTCAAACATTTGCGTTAAAAAAGTCCAGTATTTCCTAAAAATAGCCCCAGATCTTCCTGAAATAACTATGCAAATTAGCAGTAATTACAGGGAAAATAAAGTTTGCAAGCATTTGTTTTCAGAAACTTCTTCTGTACTTATTGCTCCCTGGGAGCTCAGTGGTTTTTGATAGAAGATGATGAAAAGAATCACCTGTGTCTAGTGATGCCCTTTCTGGGGTTCTCATATTTGATCCCGTCTTTTCAACTTCCACCTGGATTAGCTCTGTTTCATCAGTTTTCTTCCTGTGTGAGTTGCTCTTCTGGCTGTTACCTCGTGACAACAGGGGACGACTCCTGTCCTTGCTGTTCCTCCTCTCGCCCGGTTCACTGAGATCCAGTAAGTCCAGTGTTGAAGACAGAACTGTGAAGGAGATAACACTAGGTTAGCTTTGCTCCTTCATAAATGTACTTTTGCTTATAACAAATATTGCTAAGCAGGTTATTTATTTTTTAGCAATGTGATACTGGGAAAGAACAGGCTCACATCTTTCACATGCATTAGGGACATTAATGGCACACTGGAGTTTTTGACTTCTAGTAGTGCTATCGAAAGGTAAAATTTATTTATTTATGTTTTTAAGTTTCATGTTCCATCTGACCACATTGGGAATAAAAAATGTTATACCTGAGTTGATCAACCATACTGAACTCGTTTGTTCACACGAATAGTGACAAAGAGACCTAGAGAGAGAAGTTTAGTCCACTATACTTGCACATGTACACATAGCTAGCCAGTCATGGCATAATGTGAACATGAATGCTGGAATATTGGTTTATGAAAGTTGCAGAAATGGTTGGACACAGCTCCTGTATCTGATGGTAAAGTGTGGGGGTAATGGTTTCTGAAGTTACCCAACAAGCATCTGTGCATTATCTATATTTGTTATCCTATGGAAATTAAGACTGGAGCCAATCTACTGGGGCAAGAGGCAGGGTACACAGATCAATCACCAGCCTTAACTGCTTGATGTCTTATTTGCAGTATACTGCAATAATAATTAAATGAACAGTCTATATAATATCTTTAATCATATAGTTATAGACAATTAGAATTTTCAAATAGATTTATGAATTATTACTAATTTCCACAATAAAACCAAATCCTTTGGGTGCCTTTTCATGGTAACCCTGTTATACTCTATATCTTTGTTCCCTTATAGAAACGTTTAAATTTTAAAATCGCTCACAGAGGCCAACCTGTGCCCACTTGGCTCCATATGATAAAAGCGGACTGAACCGCGTTAATGGAAAAACACCATAAATATACTTTAGGCCTGCACAGTCTGATAAGGATAAGACTGCCCTTTGAAGAACTCCATTTGGTCAATTAAGTAATTCAATCTCAGGTTGGTTGAGCAGCAAAGAAGAACAGAGCCTTCTGTCAAGGGACTCAACTTTTGTCTGTGCTGCCGTCCACGTTCACGAGTGCAGTAAAATGTTATTGTAATATCAGATTACATTAAAAAAAGAAGAGTTGTGCAAGTTGAGTAATTATGACAATTTCAGCAGAAAGTAAGTGATCAAATCTGTTTTCTTTTTCTGAATGCTTTTGTGTGTGTGCAGTACACACTGCCTACACTTCACTCTGCTGATTTTTCTCTTTGCTACTGTTTCCACCCTTCTTTTATATTTTATATATGTTCTGTGTTAGCAGTTGATTTGTTGCAATTTTAGTCAAGTCATCAATATGATCTGCTGCTGGTTTTCTGTTGCCATTGTTTCCTGGTATTTCTAGGCTGCATCTTTGGGTATTTTTAGAGCTGTAGGTCTACAGTCATCTTGCAGGTGAAATAAGAAATAAATTCCCTCTTATTAATATCACTGTAATGGATCACATGAACATTGTAAATGAAGTTCAGGATGTTGGAACTGAGTTGCTTTGTGCTCTCCTATGTCCACACTACTATTCTGTGTTAACATGAAATAATTCACGTTTCAGTTTGTAATGATCTTTAAATTGCCACCTGATTTTTATGACCATATGTCAGAGGAAAAGACTGTCAAACAAACAAACAGGGTGGCAGTTGTTGTTCTTACAGTTAAGCTTGTTACATTAAGATAGATTCATACCATCTTTTAATGCACTGGTTATTTGGGCAACCTACAAACGAACATGCCTCTCTTTGGTGCAACACAAGCTCAGAACTACAGACACATGACTGAATAATTGGTGTGCTGCTGTTTCATGATAACCAACTGAGAGCATTTGTTGACTGAAATCTCTGTGTAATTAGAGAGTGTGCTTGTCTTTCATGCCGTGCGCTCTTTAGATGACAAGTACAATTACAAATCAAGGGAGACACGCTCGTGGGGAAGGTTGCCTGTAGAGCTTCCAGCATCAAAAAGAACCACAAGCTGTTCATGAAAAGGCAATGATGTCAAAAATGTTTTGGCACCCTCGAGTCTACTTGAAGTGATGAGACTGGGAAGACAATTGCACAGTTTTCTCATCAAATGCATATTTTAACTGGGTGATTGTATACTGACCTAAAGAAGCTGCTTTGTTAAGGTCAAGTGGCCGACAGTGAGCAAATAATCATTTCATTGGAGCTTTGAGCTTTACAACATAAAGATAAATAACAGAAAATATGGGACGGTGAAATAGACAATGGCATACATACCCTACAAACTAATAAACCTTTGAACATCTCATCCCTCAGAGTACAGCTGTTACTGAAACTCTAAAGAGTTAAACTGTACATGGACAGTAGTGGAAAAACATCTCCAATCTGTTACTTAAATAACAGTATTGGTACTACAGTCTAAAAATACTCTGTTATAAGCAAAAGTCCTGCACTCAAAGTATTAGCATAGAAAAAAATACCTGGCTTCCAAAAGAAAAGTACTGGTTATGCAGAATGTAGGTTACTGGATTGCAGTTGTGATGCATTATTGTGTTCATTTAATATTGCACTTCTTTTTAACATACAAAGAATGTGAAAATTGCATGAATAATGCCTTTAAGTGGTACATAAATACCTAGACTACATTTTGAGCAGGATTTGATCATTTTAAGAATTTTGAGATTCATGACCAGCTATATTAGGGCCACATCGCTGACAGTGAGAGCAGCAGAAAGTTTTGGGGAGACAGAAGGTTCAGAGTTTTCCACAACATTCCTTATACTTTGCCCGCCTGAATCAGTACAGTCGGTAGCCAGTTTGGAGATAACACCTATCAGTTGTGCAGTCAGATTCTGTAAATCATCATTCAAAAGATGGTGCAGTTCAGTGATCAAGGTCCTATCTATGTGGATACCAAGATGGCAGTTGGCATCTGTTAAAGGCAGAACATTCAATTTCTCAACACCTACTTTGACCCAGTTGCCTTTAGCATTTCTTTCAGAATTCTTATTATGGCAAGAACCACTCAACTAAGAAAAACAACAGTCCATCATTACTTTAAAACATGAAGGCCATTCAATGTGGAAAATTTCAAGAACTTCTAAAGGTTTTTCTAGTGCAGCCACAAAAACCATCAAACGGTCTAATGAAACATGGCTCTCATGTGTTGCTTCTGCTGCAAGTATAGGTTCGCTACCAGCTTCAGAAATCACCAATTAATGGCACTTCAGATTAGTCTACACCAGACCCAGAGGTCAAGTAAAAGACATGTCTCACCATCAGCTATTCAAAGGTGGCCATTACTGAGGGAGAACGAGAAGAAGAAGAGAATTGTCTGGGACAAGAATCACAAGGAATGGGCATTACTTATTTCCACTGGTCTAATTTGGTTTGATGGCTTAGGCAGTGAGAATTCTGGTTCCAGCTGCTGTGAGAAGGTGAATGGATGCCATCATGGTTCTTACCATGGTGTCTGATAGTGAGGAGGTGTTCTGCTGGTGACCTGTTTAGATTTTTTGAGAATCTAAGGCACACATAAGCAGCTTGGCTACCACAACTACTGTATCTGCAATGGCACAGCATACCATCTGTTTTCTACTTAGTGGGACATCTTAGTAGACATACTTAGTGGACATCATTTGTTTTTCAACAGGACAATGACCAACAACACACCTCCCTGATACATTACATGTATGTAAGGGCTATTTGACCAAGAGGCAGAGTAATGAACAGCTTGCATCATTTCATTTTTTTGAATGTCTTCAGTATGAATATACAAAGAAATGACAAAGAAAACCAAAAAATAAGAAGGTGTGTTCAAACCTTTGATTTGTACTGTATGTACTGAGGCAGACATAAATTTCACGCGCTCTACTGATATCTATTATATATTATTGTAACATTATTTACACACTGTACCATATGGTACGATATTGCCACGATAAAAGTCCACGATACAATATTTATAATGATAAAAAAATGAAAACAATGCCCTTGACTAAATAACGCAGAAATAATTTTGTATAATGTATATCAAAGATAATGTAGCAGTCTATGAGATAATATAATATATTATTGAAGTAACATCCACCCATCCACTTTCTATACCGCTTAGTCCCAAACGGGGTCACGGGGGGCTGGAGCTGCGGGCGAGAGGTGGGGTACACCCTGGACAGGTCGCCAGTCCATCTTAGGGCTATTTAAGTAACAGGATCTTGTGAATAAAACAAGTCACACTCACAGTGGAGCATCAGTGTTTTAGTACCCCCTGTTTGAATCTCTCTTTTGTGGCTGGTTGGGTTCTCAGTAGGCTAGAAATAACCATATATAGACACTGTCATAGTCCTAAGACATTATCAAGACATTTTTTTCTATCGTGAAATTACATCATTACATCCTCAGTAAATGGCTAATGTTCAAAGAGATTCATTTTCTTTTTTACTTGCCTAATTTTCCAAGTAAAGTCAGTTTCTGTGTTGCTACAGTGATGATGGGTATGAATCTGGTTTAATAGACAGCTGAATAATAAACAACTGCTCCAGTATTGTTGCCATGGTTGATGAAAAACATGTTAACAGGAGGCAGCATTTAATGGAGCAACATCATTTTCTCAGAGTTTTCCCCACGTATAGTGCAGTGTAATTATACAGTTATTGACACTTTGACAGCAGAGAGCACTGTCATAAGAGTTAAAGGGTGTCTTCAACAGCAAATGAAAAATGACTCCAACTAAAAAATGACTTCAAATGCTTAGTGGTCTATTATGCCTATTTGCATTACATGAGTCAGACAGTTTTTTTTTTTCTCAGACTGAAAAGTCACTGTACAATACCAGCTGTGTTGGAAGTCACTGGGCGGGAAACCCCATCACACTTAGTCTCGCAGAGGAAATCATCAATGGAAGGGCTTAGAAGTGGGCGGCTCTCTTGTTGCTCACTCACCAGCTGTAAGGGCAAACAGACAGGACAGTTCAGACTTTCACTCAGCTTGTTTCTCCCATCATAACCTCTGCAGTGTCCCTGCTATGTTGTTCAGATCACACCAGGGTCCTTATGTTGACACATCCCTGTAGTGTAAAGGGCTTCTACATATTTGTGTCTTTTTAGGAAGACAGAAGCACATCATTTATTCACAGCGTCTAAACACACCAAAGTGGCTTAGTGTAAATGTGATTTGATCCATTTAGATGTTAGAGATGGTTTCAACAGTTTTAAGTTTGTGATGTGAATGTTTATGTGAACAACACAGAGAAACTATGAGGGATTAGCTCTTGTGGGTGTTAGCTGATGTTTCCCAAATGTGCAGCTAAAACCAACTAAACATCAGCCAGCTGGTGGATGTTTAGACACTGGTTGCTGGAAACTGGAGACTGTTTTCACATAATTTACCTGGCTCCTGGAAAAACCCGCCTTGGTGTGTACTCGTCTGATGTCTCTTGAACCTCCGTTTTTAACCAGAGTAGGCATATTTTAAATATGTCAGTGATGACTCTACAGGCTGAAGAGGGCTTTTCTTTTTTAATTTAATCAAAACATTAGGCATTTGTGGACTGATGGTACACTGTGAGAACAGACTGTAGAGAACAGTATTTCTTGTGTGTGAGTGTGTTTGAAAGTCACTGAGTTTTAGTTGTGGTTTGTATTTAAAGACTGTGCAACAATGCTGGGCTGTGAAGCATATCTGGTATAGTGGCCAAACTGCATTACTACAACTTCCACATTCATCATGTGATGCACGCTGACCCAAAAAAGCATTTGTCCCATAGAGAATCATTGGAAAAGGAGTGGCTGTAAAATGGTGAATACATTTTTTGGAGCATCACAAACCCCACAAGATGAGTATTTTTATTAACAGAATTTGATTCATTTGGTCCAATATCATTTGGAAAGTCTAGTTTAGTCATGGGATATTTTCATTTTCCTCCATTCATGTGTGCGTGGAGCCAACCGGAAGTCACCCAGCTCATCTGGTGGCAGACACAAGTGCCCAAAAACGGAAATGTGTGGAACATCCGGATAATTTTTATGGCTGGAATCCAGAAGCATGATGATTTATTTCAAATCTTGCACCTCTGAGCAACTTTCATAGGAATGAAAGGGTGCCATCTAGCAATGCTGTAGCCAGTTCTCCATTAATACATCCATGCCCTTCACACCCATGCAGGTGTTATCACTCTTCAAGTGGACATTTTAACTTGTCAGAATAAGAAAAGCACAGGTGTTAATGATAACACCAATAATAATGATCACCTTTTATTTGGCCAAGTATGTTACACACACAAGTAAGTAATGGCACCTGAAAATGATGCTTTGCCTGTCTGAAGTCTTTCTCATGCACATTCAGTACAGTAAACCACTTTAAAAACCCAGTTAAATGTATACATTTAAGGAAACTGGGTCTCAGATTAATAAAGATACTCAGTTTACTACAGTACAGTGAATGTAATCTGACTGAATGAGTGCCATTCACCGTTGAGTTGAGCTGGGTCGAGAGAAGCCTGATGGACATGTCCCCAAAAATAATTGCTTAACCATTATTGCCTAGCTCACCTTCCAGATCATGAAAATGCTAATCATCTTGCCTGTGATTCACTGGTTTGTAGGCTTGCCAGTGCAGCTGCAGAATAGCTTACATCTAATTCATTACTGGTGCCCTGAAGCCATGATACTCCAGGTGCAACTGGCCACAATTTGCCAACCAACGCTCAATGATTTGGAGGGGAAAACCAATTTTGACCCATCGAAAGGGTAAGCCACTACCTCTGTTGTCAGCCTGAAGCATATATGTAATGCTGGCAGTGCAGAAACATGACATTTGATGTTGTTGCTCTCCAGGCCATACTCACAAGCAGAATTTTAATGAAGCTGCTACAAGTTTAATTACCAAGCATGTAGCACACACAACATGTCATTCGCGTAATATGAAAGCTGCTGAACTGTGCCCTTACAATTACAGATGTATAGTTCATCCACATTAAAAGAGAAGACTAATTCTAATTTATGATGAGGTGGACATTATGAATTTTCATGCTCAACTTTGCTTCATGGAATTTGAATAAAAGAAATGGTTTTTTTTTACTTGCCATTTAATAATGATGCTCAAAAGATGAATGAAATCAAGAAAGACAAAGATGATGACACCTAGTTTGGAATTAATTCTTTCTGCACTTAAGATAAAAGGACAGACCTGCAGTAACTTTTACCACAGACAGAGAACCTTTGAAATAGTGTATAAATAACATCCAGAGAAGGGTCATTACTTTGTTGAGTGAGAGTTTGTGCCATGCTGCTGCAACGCTGACCCAGCACAGGTACTGTAATTAGAGTTTGTGCTGTTCTGGTGTCAGAACAAAGCTTTAGTTCATGGGAAGCCTCACAGTGAGAAGTAACCTGATTTCACCCTCCACTGCTGCCAGCCAGTGCATATCCCCTAATTCTGAACTACAGTGACAAAGCACAGGACCAGAATACACAGGGGCAGACTTGTTTTTAAAGGTCGAATTTATCGTGTGATTTACAATGTTTGGGAAAAGTGTAATTGAGCCTGACTGAAGGCTGCGCTACTGTTAACTCAGTTACAATTGTTGGTGTTAATGTAGGTAAAATATCACCTAACACATAGGCAGGAATTAGTAAAGTGACAGACCCTCCTCTGGCAGAGAGAAAGTCTGCCTGTCATTTATAGAAAACAGAAACAGCAGCATTCTTCCACCCGGCCTTTATTATTTACCACACTGAAACAGTTTCTCTTTTAGTCCGTGTGTGTGTGTGTGTGTGTGTGTGTGTGTGTGTGTGTGTGTGCGTTAGTTGTTGTTGGGAGGGAGTGGGGATATGGTGCTCTAGCTCACTGTGTTATGTACTGTATATGGTGCTGAGAAAACTGGCTTCTTTTTCTTCTAATATTTATCTGTTAAATTTCAAAATATGAATCCGGTTTACTCAAGGATGCAAACACTTGAACAACATAAAATTCATTAAAAATGATTAGTAACCTATTTTGAATTTGTGCCTAAATGGCTTACCTATTTCTCAGTCATCAGTATTGTTGCAGGTTATTTCTCTTTCAATCCAATCCAGCCACAGTGATCTTAGGGTTCCTACAGTTTCACTTTTTTTTTTTTAGCTCACACAGACAATGTTGATTCAGGCACATGAAGTATGTACAGTGTTGTTCACATGTTTGAGATTAGTTTGTAATGAAATCAAATTAATAATAATATATCACTGCACATATCATGAAAATTTACAGTATTATATGTTGTACATTATAGATGATGATAATGTACAACTTCAGTCTCTCCATGTGTTTTATGTTTTTGTATTAACAAATCAAATGTAGCTCCAGCCACCCAGCTTCTTAGCTGACTGATCTATTTGACATAAATGTCGGCTGCGCTGTATAAATGTAGCGTGCTCTTCAAAAACTCAGTGGAGCCGTGGGACAGGAGAACTGAAAAGGAAGAATCTCTTGTTGCATACTGTAATAACAACAGCACTACAGATGTGCCTGAAAGTTGAGTCAGGACTGTGAGGATGAAAGTTGTCTGTACATCACTGCTGGCAGTCTCCTGATGAAGGACACTGCGCTATCTGCACTGGAGATGTTCTTCAAAGCACTTCTGTGACTGCCATGGGGGCCATTTTTGAATAATGGTTTTGAAATGATGAGACCTCTTCATTTTACTCTTCTAATCATCCAGAAAATGAGGACAGTAAGCTCTACCGCAGTCATCTGGGGAGCTGCATCAGGGACTTAGGTAGCAGGTAGCATACAAATGCCAATTATAGGTTCACTCTTAACCCAAGAGACAAGCTTTCTGAGCTGTTTGTTCATTACTCAGTACAAGGAGGTTACCGTTTTCCCATGGTGTCTTTGTTTTCTGCTTTACTCCCCTGCCTTTATGCTCCTCTCCTATGCAAAGCACTTTGCCATTCTGTTTACAAGTGCTTTAAGGAGTAATCTAGAAATTATGTAATGGAAAACCTAGGCTAATTGTGCCACTTGGGCTTGACTCCAAGTGATCTCTCAAATGTTGCTGTCGGGGGAGCTCTGTACCAGTTAAATCTGTCAGAGCCTTGAAGGTGGCAAGGTTTAGGTGAGGACAGGAAAAGGTGGAGAGGATGAAAAACATCATACTATAAAGTTAAATGTAGATACAAAATATCAAAGCATAGACTTTCCACCAGTTGTAAAACCTCCAAGCTATGTAGGGATGGTGTGATCAGGAATGATTTCACATTTAAAACTTCAAATGATGTACTGTATTTTTAAATGTTTTCTTGATTCTTATAAATCTTTATAAATGCATCAGGTTGTTTATAGTTGTGTCCAGGCTGTTATTGTGGGTGTCACTGAGCTGATTCATGCACTTCCATGTACCTGCATTCTGGAGTTTGCTGGATATTTTATGAATCATAATGACTTCATGTAATTTGTCGTTAGGCTTCAAAGTTGGCAATAAATGATGAAATGTTGTACTATTGTGTATTTTACTTTATGCCAATCCCATCTGTGGATTAACACATTTGTAATTTTTTATGCATTTATGGCACCAGAATGATGTGATATCAAAGGATTTTCCAAGTTGATCTTAAAACAATACTCACACGAGAATAAATCTTAGTTGTTGTAACTTTTTCTACTCTCCACACCAGCAGTGGTGGATTTTTGGTTGTTCTGGTTAAATGTTGTTGTAGCTATCGTCACATTTTAGTGAAAACTGAAATATGTGTACATTTAGTTGTGTAAAAGAAAAAGTCCATAATGTTGCAATCTGACAAATTTGATTTATGGCAGCTGTAGACACTGAATGTCAGATATGCCTCGTAAAACAATATGTTTAATGGCATTATTGTTGCACAATATTTGTTAGTCAGTATAATCTGTAGCTAATACATGGTAGACACAGTTTTGATTGGTTGATAATGAAAACTGTTATTCATGTGAAACAGAGGATTTTTCCTTGCTGACACTCGCTAAAAATGTTTAGGAACTAGATAATGATTCAAACACTGCTGTGCTGCTATAAGAGCAGTAAACTGGACTTGTATTTGCATTTGTTTCTCCTCATTCAGTCTTGATTTGGGTGACAATGCATCCTTAGGAGGCTAGAATCTATTATCTGTTTAACAGATGCACATAGAAGCAGCTCTCCTCACAGAAAGGAATTGTTAAAGGGAATGAGAAGTTGTTCTTCACTGAATTTTCTTTGCCCTGTAGTCATTTAAATTGTGACAAATGCTTATTTACACATTTAGAGCAAAATTAACAACATATTTTTTAAAAATATGCAAGTCATATCTTTCCGGTGTGAACTCCATCTGTTGTCAAACATCTGTCAGCAAATATGTTGTTGAGCCATTATTAAAACCCTTCCACTTGAGTGGTAATGGTGCTCGTTTGACAGTTTATCACACCAGACACTGAGTTAACAAAATCAAACGGGTATAAAGCATGCTGCAAGTTATTAAAACACAGACACATACAGTGTACAAGAGAACACACACACAACAGCATACACACACATACTGTACAGAAGCAATCAAGCACAGAGCAACAAAACTCATATTGGCATGTGGAGCACCCCCGACTCCATCCAGTTATAACAGTTAAAAAGCAAAGGAGGAGTGAAAAGCTCAGCAGCGGGTACAGTAATTTGCTGCAGTATTTTGTAGTCGGAGAGTTCAGTACAATGCTATGCTATGTGACATAGCATTTTGAAAATGTATTCATACTCTGTTTGTGCTGAGGTTTGGCTGCTTATGAGGTGTAAAAGATTTGCTTGACCTGATTAGGAATGGGAGGGGAAATTTGTGTTGACCCTCTTATTAATACCGCCAATAACGTGCTAAATATGCAATAAAAGTTAGGTAGAGCACTATGAGAGGCTAATTTGAAAAGATAAACAGTAATATCGGTAATTGCAGCAATTTGAGGCAGCTTCTACAATTCATAAAATCATTATGTTTGTGAAATTGTAGTGGTGTAGTTTTATACCCCATAGAGCAGCTGGAAATGAAAGTTTTGCTTCTTTGTTAGATACAGCAGTCATAAGGCTTAAGTAATGAGTTAGTACACAGTGGAGGTCAGTTATAGGACACTCAGCGCTTTGCTACTGTGTCAGTAATGCCAACACAGGAGGACGTTCCGCTTGAAGGCAGGGGGGAAGGGTGGGGATGGTTTCTGAAATGGTTCTGCCCACCTTGGTAGTCACTGTGAGGAGGGGCTTCCCTTCTGATGACGCCTTACTTGGTATCTCCTTCAGGACCATGGCAACAGTCTTATCTGCAGCCCTAGAGTCTTTCCCCTACAACAGTGAAATCAACAACGACTTGTGTCAGGACAGTTGGACAACTCAGTGCTCTTTGCCCCCATCCAGGGCATCTTACAAAAAAAAACTTTACCTTATAATGATGGAAATACTCAGGTGTGTGGGGCTGTCTAGCAACAAAACATCGACTGAAGACATTTCCACAAGACTATGGCAATGAAAAGAGGACCACCGCACAATGTAGACTGAGTTGAGTGTAGACAGTGATGAGTATGGCTGTCCACAGCAATATTTGTCCAAACTATGACATGATATTATACAAAGCTTGTCACACAGACCCTATAATTTATCAGGAATTACTCGTACTGTATGTATATAGGCAGGTGAAAGTGCATGGCTAGAAGTTGTTACATATGACTGGTAGTGGTGACTGTAAACCTGTAATAGGTGATACTGGATGTTTACAACACTGGAGCTGGAATGATTAATCAATTTTTCTTCTAACATAGTGTTGTATATCTTTGGGTTTTGGACTGTTGATTCAGACAAGACATTGTTGGAACCTGTATAGACATTTTTCACACTTTTTATAGACCAAACAATAAAGCACTTAATCAGTATGGTTAGTTGCTGCCCAGCATCAGCCATGCTTAGACATACTGTAGTCTTTGTGTATTCAGACCTGGATGAACTGTGATAATATATACCAAAGAAGACCTAAGTGATAAAAGAATGAAAGAGGAAAGTAGTTTTAGTCCATATTTCTCTGAATTGAGCCTTATTCGTTACCCTTTAGGAGGTCTTTTGCTGTTTGATCTTTAATGATCATCACCTCCATGAGGCACTGAATAGTTCCTACAGTACCAGTGACCATATCTGATGCTAACCGAGATATGGTTGGTTGTGTGGTGGCCCGGTTGTTGTGTTTTATAACACATGTGATCATAGGATCTGGTTTGATATTGACTGGGGACCTTTACTTGTCATCATACCCTTATCTCTTTCATTTTCTCTTGGTGACAAAGGAATGCAGGCTGACAGATTGCAACAACACTTGGAGCATTAGTCCAAGCTATTTTTCTGGTGTAGTTTGGAACCTAAAGTCATGTAAATTTCCTTGGTTCTCTTAAAAACAAACAAAACAAAAATCAGCCTTTTCTCCTGTCCCCCTTATGAAAAAGTGGTTTCTTGGCTGCCGTCCTTCCACAAAGGCCATTCGGCCCTTCTTTGGACTGCCATCTTGGTATCCAGATGTAGCTGCCAGGTCCTTGCTGGATTTCCTCTGGTCTCGTAGAAGAAACTCTGAGAAACATCTTAAAAGATTTTAACAGTTTTCTTGGTCTTCCACTCCTGTTTTTGTCCTCAACCTCTTGGGATTCTTCATATTTCTTTAGAACAGTTTGAATACCACATCTTGAATATCCATTTTTGTGTGTGTGTTTTTTTAATACTGTGTAGATACAGTATTTGCTATATTTTGTAGTTGTATTCTGATAAAGATACTTACTGAATATGTAATTTAATTCATTTACTAGTTCACTATTTTGCAGATACAATGTTTGAGTCAATAGTAGCAAAATAATCTGTGTAAACGCCTATCCAGACTTTAATGTGACCTTCACTACACCCACACGTACGCTCTGAGCATAAACTGTCCCGTCCTCCATCCACCACCCACAGCCCCTAAGAAAACTGTGTAGAGCTTGTCCAATAACTGCCAAAGCCACATTACATAACAGTAAAAATTGATTACATAAGAGGTCAAACTGATTTTGCCAGCCTATTGTCATCTCTTTCACCTCGACTTTATGGCAGAAGCTGAACGGTAGAAACCACCAGGTTTCCCTCAGACAATCATTCACTTCAGAATGTACCCTTAGCCAGAAGCTAGATTATACAGCATAGTATGCTATTAATTATTTTAAGATACACAGACGTCACAGGAGACTACACATTTCAATTCAGACGAAAACTCATCCTGCTGCAATTAAATTTGTTGACCAGAGAGAGAGAGAGACAAAACTGCTGTTTATCACACTCAGTGTTTTGTAGACTCGGTGAAGCTGCCTGTTCAGATAGAACTGGATAGTATTAGGGCTTTTCACATTCCCACTTGTCAGAAAAATGAATTAGGCATTTCTTCCTCAACCAATCATGTCAAAAAATGCATGTGCTTGGCATCGAAGGGGAGTTAGCTCCTAATAAAGTCCCCAAAGCCACCTGTGCTGCCTCCTTAGCTTAGTCTCACTCAGTATAAATGAACAACATCTTGCACTAAAACATTGTCAAGAGCAAAATGGCATTCACCGAGATGATTCAGAAAAGCTCTGAACAAGACTAAACATTTGTTTTTGCTTGTTTGTTTTTTTTGGAGCGGCAGATGATGTGATTTGAAAAGCGCTGAATGTTCCCTCTGTGCCGTATGCGCAGGTATTGTGTGCGCCAAGAGTGTCGAGGATATCTTCCACCAGACACGCAGTCGGTTTGTGTTGGCTCACAGTCTTGGCTGGCCTGCTGTGTTGTTTTGTGTCAACTTCTGCTAAACTGGCACAAATTTTCCAAATTATTATTATTATGGCAGCACATTGCTCACTGGACAGCTATTGAAATTGATAGTCTTGGTGTTTTTAGAACTTTGGTGTCCTGATCTACACAGCTGTTTGAAACCTTGACACTAAGTTAATTACAGTGTGTGCTGAAAGTTAAGAGAATGAAGGCTTTCATTTCAGCATGCACCCTGCCAAAGGAGAAGTAATAATATTTAAGATGGGAATTTGAATTAATGATTTTTTTCTGTTTAATAAAATCTGAATAACACAGCTGTTAACATTTAATTGTTTCCTTCCTTAATGCAGCAGCGCCTGACTAAAGATTTGGTCACCATGGGCTCTTCTAGACGTTATCATTAAATCATTAGATGCTGTTGGTGGCAGAAGACATAAATGTTGCTGTTTCCAACTTCGAATTAATACATTGTTGGAGAGTCAGTGTTGTACACAAACATTCTCAGAGGAGTAATCGAAAAACTTTATGAAATTCATTACAAATTCATTCACAACACTATCAGACAAAAATATCACGGGAATAAATATTTAGCTATCTTATCTCATAAAGGATATTCAAATTCGGGTATGATGCATTCTAATTTTACTGTAAAGAATGGTCAGAACTTGGAGCACAATTATCTCATCATATCAGCCACATGCTAGTATCAGCTGGATCTAATAATGCAGTGTGGTTTCTGCTGCATCTCTTGGTGCTCCAGGCAGACATCTAGCCTCTTACGTACAGTATGTTTGCTCTTGGCTTCTAAGAGAGGCCACAAACAGCAGCTGGGATGCCTCTGCAGATGGAAAATTGATCACAATCAGGGACGAGCACATATTCAGTGGATTTGAGAGGAGAATATCTGGCACACTACTGACTACAGTGACATGATGTACTGTACAGTGACAAATAATGAGTGGAATGAGCTTCCTGACAAGAATTCACTGAGCTTGTGCAAATAAATCCTGGCAAGGATTCTCTGTCCAGGAACAAGACCCCTCAGCAGGGTCCAAAGTTCAGGCCAACCAGAGCTTTATTTGAGCCTCTGGTTGTTATGACAGTCAGTAAGCTTACAAATGACTGAAAAATGGTCAGCAGTGTAAATTGGGGGTGCAACAAATTTTTGCAGTTTTGATGGGCAGGTCAGAAGAGCAAACCTGAGGCAGTGTGAAACTGAAAAGAGGTATATTTATGCTGTTAGTAGACATACTGTGTTGAGCTGGTCAAGCTTCAGTAAGGTACATTGTTCTAATGACTAATGTCTTTTACAAATACACTTGCACGTTGAGATGAAAACTTCAAAAGGAAAAGAGAATTATGTAGTCAGACACATTTATTCCCAACACACACACACACACACACACACACAAACACATCTGTGGGCCTCCCACTCTGGTGCTCAGGCTCAGTGTGTTGTAGCATCCAGAACAATTCAGAAATGAAAGACAACCGCTGATTTCCAGCAGTGCTAACATAATGGATAAGGTAGGCTAATACCTAAACTTGTTATGGCGGGTCTTCAGTTTTATTGCTGCCATTTCAACTGAGGTGGCTCACTAGGTTTTCAGTGTAACATTACCTACCACTGTTTATTGGCTTTGATACACTTTATGAGATTGGTATAATAAGTGGGGAATGATGGCAGGTATACAATGTATGTCACTGAAAACTGCAAGCTGACGTGGTCTTGGAATGTACTGTTTACAGCTGCTGTCCAACGCTATTGGCATGTACTGTGAAGGTCTTTGTAGCAGTGTCAAATCACAGACGAGAGAGTTTTTGTCAGTGATGGCTAATACAAATCATGTCCAGGATTACAGCCTGAAGGTGAGGGAAATTTACGTTGTAGTGCAAATAACTGCCCCATGTGCCAAGTCTTCTGTCCTCAGAATACATTTAATATTCACTCATGTTCCCTGAGCGGTTTATAAAGACTTGAAAAATGTGACATTAAGCCACTGCCAATCTAATAAACATGTCTGAGCCCTAGACATGATCTAACTCTCAGAGCTAAAACAATTTAAAGGCACATTCACATACTGGGCATTTGTGTTTGTGAGACAATGCTCTTTTGTGCTTGTGGAAAAATGATCTTATATAATTGCTATTATTTGAATGCGCACATAATTATAACCTGAAACGCAGCGTGGTGGATTTATTTCTCATCTCGGATCAGTTTTTTGTTTCCTTGGTTACCTTATTTCCTACATAACAAAAGTGCAGTGCCACTGAACTAATTAGAGGCACTGGAGGCTGCAAGCAAAGTTGTTTGTTTTTAATTGTCTCTTGTGTGGATATAATGTCATCTAATGTAGCATAATGTCCAGTTAAAAAAATATAACCCAAAATGTAATTTAATCTACAGCTACAATTTGTTGTATGTTGTACAGCTTAAACAAATAAGATATGATGTGTTAAATAGTCATTAGTGGGTTTTAGAGGTGCTGATGGGCAGACTGTTACCTTTACCAGCCAGGTCAGCTGTTTCC